TATGAGTCGCGTGGCTTGATCCCAGGCTGACTTCTGAAGCAATTCAACCAGGAGGAACAGCAATTTGAATTTGATGGATCAAAGTCATGTTGTTGTAAAGTTGCCCACTGACCGCTTTTGCTTATGTAAGCAGAGTCGCCCCTGTCATGCTGCCTCATCCGATGATTGATTTTTTCAGCCTCCATTTGACTTGCCTGGCTTCAGATAGAACCTGATACAAAGGTTATTGAACCATCTGAATGCAATGGCAATGCTCATTTCCTCAAAAAAAATCATGTTTCAGAGTTGTGGTACCCTCTCCCCCTGCCTACTCCACCAAAAGGCATGATTTTATGTTGATGCTGATGTGCAAAATAGTGTTCCTACTGTTTGATTATCATGCAAATGGATTGGAGTTGATTTCTGAGTGTTTTGAACCAATATGAATTGTGATGTGTGAGTTTGCCTGATACCCCCCCTCAAAGATCGATTTTTCTAGGCTTCCCATGACTTGCCAGGACTCCAGGAGTATTCTTCCTGGGGGTTATTGAACCCTCTGAACACAATGGTCGAGCTGGATTTCCCAGAAAAAATCGCATTCTTGAGATATGCAAGGTCCCCCTCCCCCCCTACCTCCCATATCTTGATATTATGTAAATACCAATATATAAAAGACTGTGCCTGGTGTTTTTCGATCATACAAATCGATTGGGAATGGTCCCAGAGTGGCTTGAGCCTGTCTGAAATGAAATATGTCAGTTTTGCTGACACCCCCTACAAAGATCGATTTTTACAGACTTCCCATGACTTGCCAGGACTCCAAAAGCATTTTTCCCGAGGGCTCTTGAACCCTCTGAACACGATGGTCGAGCCAGATTTCTTAGAAAAAATCATGTTCTTGAGATGTGCAAAGTCCCCCTCCCCCCTCCTACCTCCTATATGTCACTGTGCCTCATTTTGGCCTAAGACCGGTACTATAAACAACTGTCCTAAGGTTTTCAAAGTGCAGGAATCGATTGGTGATGGTCCCATACCCTCTGGAGGTCAGAAATATTGAGATATGGTGGGTAGGCCAAAATATCAGTATTTCGACCATATCTCCACAACCCAACCGCCAATTTTTTTAATTCTTGGCTCATATCAATCCTAGAGGTACCCACTATGATATGTACCAGCCCAACAAAAGAAATATTTTCACAAGTTTGAAACCTATTTCTAGTTTGACCATATAAATTTGCGTGATATCAGGGTCCTGGACACACCATAACCAAGGTGTAACCATAATGGACTTGCAGAAACATGCTTAGAATGGGGTGGGAATGTAATGCGACATATAGATAGATGTAGATCCCGTTCAATGCGACGCCATAAGCCCAGAAGCAAAACTTGATTCAACACGATACATTGTACAATTCGGAGTTAACATGAGACACAAGCGACATTCTACAAGACTAGCGACTGAGTACTGAGTGATCAAGTGACTCGGCCTGTCAGGATTCCAAATGAAGTTGCTACCCAATTTGAGATACTGACTTCAAATAACAGATATTTCAACGCACCGATTCTAAGGTTCCTTCATTACGCACCCGGGTGATCGCGTATTCTTCAGTGTCTGGATCCCACGTGAGGTTCCAGATAGTGGTCTCAGGAAGTTCGGCGAGATTTTCCACAAACAAGGGGGTGCTAGGAATGTCACCTGTCAAAATTTCACCCTCTTGATAACCTGATGCAACATAGCCGCGCAGCCTTGGAGTGGCCGTTGTGACAATGGTACTGTTGTTTCTGTGTGTTGCACTGTGAGTTCTCTGGGAGAGAATTGGAGGGAAGATGGCAGACCCAAGCTTGGGGAAGTACTTCATCGTCGTAGGAAAGGACGCTTCGGCGCTTTGAAAGCCTGGAGGCGGAATCTACTGAGGTCAAATAGAAGGAGAAGACAGCAAGTCACAAACCGATTCCCACGTCTTCATCCGTCCCAGCGTGATTGGTGATCATCAGGACACCAGCCCGTCCTACCACGGGATCCTACACAGATTAGGTTGTTAAGACAAAAATGGATGAAAATCAGACTTACAGAGAAGTGGAGGACGTCACCGGCCTTGATTAGGGTGGTATGTTGGCCGACCTGCATGAATGCTTGCATTGGTGCCAGGAATCGTAGAGTAGATGGGCGCTGCTCACGTCAATATCGACAAAGGGTCCAGCGCCGACGACCCTCCCACTGATAACCTCTGGTTTGGTGACAGCAAGCCTATAAGTTGGATCAGCAATGTTGATGAGTATAACTTCCGTCCGTCATCTTACTGGTTCCTGTAGGTCGCTGTCGTCTCATATGAGCCTGGGACGAGGGTCGTGTGTAAGTTTGCAACTGGGCAGTAAAGATGTGGGTACACCCACCCTTCGCTCCGAATGTGTCGACCCTAGAATATTGCAAATTTTGAAGTAATCACAGGCAAAACCGAGGTACTTACTTCCAGACTACGTCTTCGAACGTGAGCACAAGATCCGACACTTTTCCGAGGTTGTATCTGGGAGACGATCAGGTAAAAAAAGTGAGGGCGGTGCGATAGTGCTGCAAAAGGCACCCACGACTGAAAAATCAAGTTTCTGACATAGCGGCTGGCTGACATTGTTTGAGATTGTACAACACAAAGTGCAGTAGAGATTGTGCGTGGATTGAATTCTGCCAACGTTAGTGGCCCAGCAAGGCTGTCTTTTATATGCCTGGGGCATTGGACTGATCCCCAGAAAATACACTTACCCCATGGCCGTGGCAGGTCGCATGTCGCATTAGCAAACATTCCTTGTAGGCGAAATCGCTCTTCGGATCCCAGGAATGTTTGCATAAATTCTTTTGCAATCATTGGAAGTGTTCTCCAGTTGTGCTGCCAGATTAGCAAACATTCATCGCAAGCGAAATCGGTCAAATGAATGTTTGGTAAATACTTGCGTAAAGTCTTTTGCAATGGAAGTGATCTCCCAGCTGTTTCCACGTAGTCCTCGGGTCAAACACTTTGAAGCTATTGGAACTTGGCGGCAGTTGATCTGGAGTTGAGGACTCCGAGTGCGCTGTGTGTGGCCATGTTAGAACATGATGAGTATTCGTCAGTACACTAGCTGTTGTCGGGTCGCTCAGACGAGTAGGTTTGCTTTGTCATCGATTCATCAGTCACATGGAAGCTTAAATATTAATGGCGCACATCAGATAGCTGTTGGAGATCATCGATCAAGATCAACAACATTAAATTATTGATTTGTTGAGACCGCGATGAAGTGATTGAAGTCACCACCGGATTGAGCATGACAGGAATATAATGGCCATTGCCTGGACTTGTGTGAGTCTTGCCATGAGGCCCGACACCCACCTTAGTGGGAGGAGGGTTTTGTCGGATGAATTCGTTCAGGCACCAGGCCTCACCAGGCTTTACGCTGAACGGGAACCGCAGGAAACATATACATCACTGGTAGCTCACAACACGACCAATGCTGATTGGGCACTTCTCTCTCGGCAGACAGAAGAACCGTCATAGGCGCCTCTCCAATCCCTCGTCAGATTCGGGAGCACTGCCAGGTTGCGCAACTTGCGGTGGGAGGCACAACAAGGGTCACAACTCGAACCATGACTGAGAGGGGGTAGAATTCTACGCAGGCGATTTAGCGTATGTTTCGGCTGGTCAGATATGCGTACCTTAGCGGCTCTGAAGATCATCCAAAACATAGAATGAAGTTGTTCGAAATACTTGCACGTCAGCAGGTACATAGCGCTCTCAGTAGATTTGGAATATTCAGTAAACTCCATAGATCGAAGAACTGCATGAAATGATCAATTATCAGTACTCAGTATTAGTGTGGTGTCCATACTGTGATCGCTTCGCTAGAACTTGCGTTTCTCCTCCACACTCATCTTCGGGTACAGTTCATTAAAACTCAATTGCAAGCAATCGAATGTAGCCAAGTACAAAACACCTCATTGAACATTGTCTCACGTTCCACTCGTCCCTTGTTCCGCAGTATATTACAACCTTAGAGTGATGACAGCCACTTACTTAGTTTCAGATCAGCGCGGACATATCTACCATTGACAGTGTGGCCTTTTCTTCCCCTTAGTCATACGTATCATGTTGAGTTTCACGTGTAGGAAGGAGGAAACATAAACAACATCTATGCAATCTTGACAGTCTGAATGACATCCATAAGCACAGACCAACGGCCAAAAACAATAAACGGACGTACTTTGGCATACAATGAGTCTACGACCTTGCTAACTTGCTCCAGAGTCCCAATTGCTGCTCCATACGTGTTCTGAAAAAAGGATATAAGCATGGATGGGATGAGTGGGAAGAGGGTACGCACGTCGGCTTCTAGCTCATCGAATACGATTAGGCATCCTCGTCCCTGATCCAGCACGCCGTGGAACACCTTGTCCAAGATCATCTGAGATAGCCTGAAACACGACATCAGCTACTTTTCACACAGAAAATTTAATACGCACTTGGCCTCAACGTCCTGCCGTCCTTGCCCGACCTGTTTGGCAACGTAGTCAATCTCCACCACCGAGTATGGCCTCAACGATACGCAGCAGGTTTTGCTGAAGAAGGGTATCGTAAAGCGCTGCAAGATGCGAGCGAATGGTAGGGTCGGACGAGAGTTCTGTGTAGCAATGACAAGTCAACAACGAGTTGCATAAATGGGAGTATGACATGCCATGTTTGTAATCCCGAAGGGCCTTCTCAAAATCGGACAAGTTCCGATTCTGATGCGCAAGCGCTATGGTACGCATGCTCTCGATCTCGCGGAGCTGAGCATATTTCACCGCGAGCTTGATGGAGAGAAGTGATGTTACATCTTCGGGCTGGGACACACATCAGAATGACTGGCCAGTTTAAGGTCATTAACAACACACCATATTCAACATGACTTTGCACAAAAGCATGTACTTGAGTGCGTTCAGCGCTGCTGGGTCGTCCTGCGATGACATATTCTCAAAAGTCTCATAGAAATATGAGTATGCAGTAGTGTAATCCTTGTCCTCAGCGTGGAGAACACCGGATTTGGAGGTCTAACGCTGCTTGAAGATGAGGAGGACAATATATGAGTTTTGCAGCAGTCCTGCGGGAGGTGAGGGCCAGCTTTGTATTTCACGGACGTAAGGCCACATAATGAGAATTACCAGGATGGCACCCGAAGGACTACCTTAGACTTCGACAGGTTTCCAATGCCACGGTAGACACGACTCTCGAGCAGGTGTACTTCGGTAAGAATCATCTTGTCATCTAACCTTTTCAACTCTGTTAAGAGTGCGTCAATTCTCGTTAAGGCTAACTTGTACT